TGCCTTGCCAGAGGCAAGGGAATCCAAGGCCGCTTTTATTTCTGCTAAATTTGGTTCACTGTCCAGCTCTTCCAAGACAGGCAGGCACTCAATGTTATTTAATGCCTCTTCGGTTACTACATTCTCTCTGGAATATAGCTCAGTGCTGCACCCAGTGTTCCATCTGCTGTGCTCAGTCCTGGATGATCACGCCCGTAGCAGGCTTCAAAAGAGCAGATTTCTTCTGTATTGTACCCAAAGCCTGCTTGATACCGTCATACATTCCCTTGATGTTACCTGTGTCTGCTGCTATCTGTATCTGAGAGCACAGTTGAAGCCAATAATCGTTACAACATCTCCTGGCAGTCCATTGGACTTTGCTACAAGCAACTCAAAGAGCCTGCGAGTTGTACTCACTAGGACAGGCTTTGTATGCTGCTACAGCTCTCCTCTTATCCTCGATGGCTGGCATCAACTCCTCCAAATGAGTTTCAGACCAGTCTGCCATCTTTTTTGTCTTCTTGCCAAATGTGGACAAGATGGTGTTATAAACAGTGTTCTTGAAATGTTCCCATCATTCAGGTGCATTTGCATCAGCCGGGCCTGGAAGGGTTTCCTGAAGTGCTTGGACAAATTCCTCCACTTTTCTCTGATCGTGAGTCTTGCTGATATCAATACGTGATCTTCCTTCCTTTTTCGTGTGATACAATCTCTTTATTCACAGTTTTACTGTGTTACACACCAGGGAGTGATCAGTATCACAATCAGCACTCTGATAACTGCATGTGATCGTAATACTAGGAAGGCTAGAGCATCGAGTGAGGATCAAATCGAGCTGATGCCAATGCTTCGATCTTGGATGTCTCCAGGAAACTCTGTGTTGAAGCTTCGTATTAAAGAATGTGTTGCTGACCATAGTAACAGCAAAACTCCAGCAAGCGCTGGCCATTTTCATTCATCTTCCCAATGCCAAAACAGCTTAGACAAGTGGGCCAAGAATTGTGATCAGCACCAACTCTAGCGTTAAAGTCACCGAGAATGAACAGTGGCTCTCTCTCAGAGACTTTTTTGATAGCAGCTGCCAGATCGTCGTAGAATTTGTCTTTGACTTCTGCTGTAGACAATGGTGTTGGTGCATATGCACTAGTAAGGGTGACCAGTCCTGCTGATGAGTGGAGATGCAGAGACAGGATTCTTTCATTCCCTGCAATAGGTGGAACAATGGATCTCAGCAGAGTATTTCTGACCACAAAGCCAACACCATATTCCGTGGCCTAATTCAATGGTTTTCCCTGCCAGAAGAATGAGAAGTTTTTTCCTTTGAGAGATCACATGTCTGGCAATCTCATCTCTTGCAGGGCAACAATGTCCATCTGCAGCCTACTCAGTTCCATGTCAATGACAGTTCTTTTGCACACGTTGTCTATTTCCTGCAGGTCGTCAGAAATGCCAGGGGTTATTGTCTGAACATTCCAGATGCCCAGCTTCAGTTTTCTTATGATTGTTGCATGGTGCAGGGTTATCAATCTGCTTGTTGGCTTTCACCCTAAACCCCACGCACCCCGTGAGGTTAACAGACCATGGTGAAGCAGCACCTTACTGGCTGGGGGCTGCCCAGCTTAAGGCAGGTGGTAGCTACATAGTGAGGTGCAATGACCTCTCCCACCATAGGAAGTAGCCCCTGCTATCACACTCTATGGCAATCGAGCAAAGACTTATAACCGGTAACTGCTACTTCCAGTGTTATTTTGATGCTGTATGCGAAGCTGGAGTGTCCTCTCCATAGCACGAAGCCTGGGTAAAATAATATGGAGAATAGGCTGTTAACCAAGAAGAAAATCCCCCCTCTCCAAGTCATTGAAGAAGTCCAATGGAAAGGCAAGAGCCAATACAACTGGTTCCAGCAATGTTGCAGGAGTTGTCAGAGCGTGACTGTACACAGTCACGAACTGCCTCCAGGACTCTGGCTCCAGATTTTGCCTCAAAGTTAACTCCTGAAGCCTTTTCCATCAGTAGATATAGCCACAAGGCAGTGGAGGTTGGAAATCGGAGTTTTCCTTCTCCTAGATGGGCTGCCTTCCAAGGCTAACAAGCCCCACCTACCCGGATGCATAGATTACTGTGCTTTTTGGGCACAGAAAGGAGTATAAAAGGGCTGGAAAAGGAAAGGGGGTGGAAAGGAATTTAGAAGGGGTGGAGATAGAAAGGGGGAGGAAAGGAGTTTGGAAGGGGCGGAGATGGAAATTCTGAAAAGTACACCCCAGCTAACACTTAAAACTTGGCAACAGTTGATCCTTTGGGAAAATAACTTGATAAATCCACTAGAGCAGTAACTGATGCTGATGAATAAATACATAACCTAGATACTGTGTATTGAATTTATCTATAAACTGCATCATAAAGAGTAGATAAACTTTTAGTATGTACCTAGAAATGATAATTGTTGGAACATGTCAAATATTGGGGGTGAGGGGTATATTTTAGTATATGATTTGTGCCACCGTACTAATAATATCTTGCACCAGATAACTGTGGAGTGGACCTCAGCAACATTTGGCACCACCAGAAGGCCTTTCTTAGCTGATCCTAGTAACCGAAAAGGATGGCCGATGAGCATCTCCAATCTAACGTATTCTTTGTGTTTGTTTCTCCCCAGATGTATATCCATCATGCTCTCTATGATGTAATCTTTAAGTATGTAGGGACAATTGAGGCAAGTGAGGTAGGTGTTTTATCTTCTAAATTGCTAGAATACCACATGGGATTATGTTTTGAGACACTGTACTATTTCAGGAACAGCATGTAAAATGTGTATGTTACACCATTGGGAAATGGATATAAGCTGAAATGAATTCTGGGGGAAACTCATCTGAGCACACATTTTGTCTTTAACCAGGATGTATTATGCTGGTTAGGGACAAAGAAATACCAAATGGAATTCCTCCCCTGATAGTATAAGCGGGGTGCCTCAAACAATTCCTCTTAGGGTTCCCAGTTGGGCCCTCTGAAGTCCAACACCATCCTGATCACCATTTTTTGGGTCATTTCTGAGCTTTGGTATAGTATATCTCCTCCCCCACTCCTAAGAGATTGAAGTATCTATTGTATGTAACAGTAGCAGTAACAGCTTTAAGGGAAAAGATGCTGGTATTTGGGGCCCTGCCCTTTTGCTTTTGGCCCTGTGCACCACTGGAATGCTGCCTTCAGGGTTTTCTCTGACATGGAGTTAACTGCTGAGATTTCGTGAGGACCTATAATGCAGTGGTAGACATTTGTAACATACAGGTGCTGACAGATTTTGTCCCTGGAGTGAATTTATAGTGACAAACTGAGAGAAGAGGAAGCTAGAGTAGAATGATATTGCAGTAAAATGGACAAATATTTTGACCGGCTCTCTTACATTCTACATGAGTTGGTGTCTTGTGGTGTATGAAAGGTCTCACGACCGTAGTGAGGACAGTATTTTTCCTGCCAGGGTCTAATAATTATTCTTTTGTCTTTAATTACCAGGATGCAACTTTCAACAAAATCACACGAAGTCTGCAGGACCTGCAGCAGAAAGACCTGGGTATCAAGCCTGAATTCAGGTGAGTTGCGTAAAGATGTGCCAGTGGAGATATTGATGAGAGGGAACAACTACCAGTAAGGGCAGAACAAAAGCAGCTTTTGCTCAGAGTTGCTTGCTCTTTCAAACAAATCCTGGATTGTGTTGCACACTATAATTTGGAATACTTTATGCCTGTTTTCTACAACAAATATGCAAGTGTATGAATTGTAGTCTACTCCCTGGAGAAGCAGGAAAAGAAAGGCCACGCAATCAAGAATTATCCTAGAAAGGCAGATGGAAGCAAGAATATCTAGGTTGGGATGGGGAACTCTTCTTCAAGGGACTTAGAAGTGTCTCAGACTGGACTTCCAGCTTGATGCTGCAATGAGACAGCAGCAGGAGGATAGAGCTCCTTCCCCTGGGCTGAATTCTGACCTGTTTGGGACTCCCAGGGGTTTAAAACCACCCTGAGGTGGTGAAATAGGGGAGAAGCCCGTTGATCATGGGGGGGATGGTGGTTACCCACGTTTGAGCCAGGAAACGCCCCAATCAACCAGCAGGCAGAAAGAAGCAGCTGAATTAGCTTGCTTGCAAGTCATCGGCAGCTGGCAAATGAAGAAGCGATAAATCAGCCAGTTTAACATCGTCATTACCACTAGGTGAGATGCAAAATTTTAACTATATTGCTCTATGATTATCCCTGGATGGAATCTTTTAGCAGAAATAAGCGTCTCTTAGCCCCACTACTAAGTAGAACAGCAGTGGATCTGGAGAAGGGGAAAGAGATGCAAAGAGACACAAAGAAAATAAATTGGACATTAATTAAACACTTAATTATACTAAAGGCAGGGAAGTTTGATATTACTTTGGAGTTAGAAACTTTTAAAATTATTTTAACCAAGCAACAGTGGGAGTTAAACTCTTTGTTATTGCTATCTATAGTGTTGGCAGAAAGCCCAGAACATGACCTTGAATACTCAAAAATGGAACTCTGTTTTGACTTTCCTTTTTTTCCTGAGAACTGACTAAAACATAGACTTTCCAAAGTTAATTGTCTAATGCAATCACCGAGTGAACTTAAGTCAGAGACTAGATTCAAAATTAACTCTAAAGGTGATCAATTTACTAAAGTGGACTTATTGAAGCAATTATTATCTTTCACTTGAAATACAAGTACTTGGCATCTTGGGACATAATGCTACAACAAGGAAAATTTTGGGATGAAACAATCTACCCTTCAAACAATTTTAGAAATAGTGAGATCCCAGAATGAAGAGGTGAAATCATTCAAGGAGCAACTAAAGAAGGACTATATTCAACAGGAGACGGGGAATAATGAACAAGGAAATGTGAGGATGGTGGACGATGTATGCCAACCAAAGGAAGGGCAGGAGGAAGTCAGAGGAGAAAATTTAGGAGATTTAATTCTAATCCTAGAGCCGAGGAGAATTTTAAAAATGTTAAGGGAAGGGGAGAAAATCAGCATAATACAGTAATTAAAAATAGCCTGGAAGATCTATTGGAGATAGATCAAGTGCGTAAAGATCTATTGGAGATAGATCAAGTGTATAAAATGTTTTCAGATGACACAAGGGACAGAAGAATGTTTAGAGACAAGAGAAGGAGTTACTTAGAAAGATGAAAAAGGGGAAAATATTAAGGTGGCCCTCAACATTGAAAGCATGTATATAC